TGTACTGGTCCTGCACATCATTGCATGTTGTGCAGCTATCATTATTCAAAAATATAAATGAATTGAAGACCTTTGTGTTTAAGGATTTTGTAACTGTGGATCTATTAGACGATTTCGATAATATAATTTTAGGTATTTTTTATTATTGTATTATATTTATATTTCAAACTTTCAGTCATTTTATATGTCTAAATATTGTTACCCTTTTGCTAATAGACAAACAATCAAGTATAATATTTTCATATATAATATTTTTTAACTTAATTAATCCGTTAATCTTTAAAGATTTTCAATTCAGTAATTGTCTTTAATTAATTACAAATTAATATTATTTATTAGGCTACGATAAAAGTTTTCAAATGACAAAAATCCATATGTTCATTTCTCAGTGTTAGTAATAAATTCTATTTTTATTTTATTTTTTTTATTTAATTCTTTTTTTTTTATTTTTATAACAAGCACTCACTTGGTGTGCTTGTTGCAGGAATTGCAAGAAATTTTTGGGCTATTTCACTTAAAATCAAAAATTTCTGTTTTTGTAAAGACCATCATACCTGAGATAGAGTTGGTAATCGAAACGAAACCTACCCGAAACTAGTTTCGAAAAGCTCTAATCCAGATTTTTTTAAAAAAAATTGAAACCCTGAAACCCAAAACTCTGAAACTATAATCTGAAACCTCAAACTATAATCCGAGACCTCAAACTATAATCCGAAACTTTAATAATTATAATATATTGACATTTATTTTGACAGTTCTACTTCCTGACACTCTTATTTATTTTCCTAACACATATATCAGTATACTATTTTTGAAATAATTTGAGATTTATTAGCTATAATAGTTCTATTTTATTCTATTTTATTCTTAACGAAAGTATTCCCTGTTATTTCATGTAATGTTGACACATTTAACATTATTAAACTTTCGTTTGATTACTTGTTTAGCATGTTCGGTGTGTTTAATTTATGCGAATGTTTTAGGAAAAGAAGTTTTTATTAACAAATAAATCTTAACAAGAAATATAATAAGGCTCCAAATATAAAATAGACTTTTATAATAAACATGCCACATGAATAAGTGATAATATTAAAAAAAGTTAGATATATGATCAAGAATTCGTCAACTGATTTTTTTTTTTTTTTTATATTGAACCCTCCTGAGGGGACGCCAGATGGCGTACTTTATTTAATTCTGTTATATATATATCATTACATAATTAATTACTTATATTACCTATTGTCTACCTACTATTTATTAAAATTATGTATGTTTGTTTCTATTATTTTGTTCAATTTATAATGTTTTAATATTTTGAGCTCCTTCTCAATTCTATTCTTAACAACTACAGGAAGTGCAAGTTCCGGTATTGGTGTCCCTCCCCATCTAACCTGGGTATAACAAAACCAAACCTCGTATAATGCGTTAATGTATAGCCAACGTACTATCTCCTTCTTACTCTCATCTTTAATATTCGATGCAGTAATAATTTCCTCGTAAGTCCTTGGAGAAGTCTCCCCTGGGCTTAAATGTGAGTATATTGTTTCCCATATAATTTACTGCATTTATAGTTAACTCCAAAATGTTCATTAGTTTCGGTTTCTTCATAACATATCGGACAGTCACCATTGTCATTCGGTATTATATGCTTTAGTCTGTATCCTAATAGCAGCGATTTATGGCAGTAACGCCAAAAAATATCTTTTCGCTTATTGTTGATCCATTTTATTTTGGACCACCTCCAAAAGTCATTGTTTACTCCACTCGCATTTTCTTGTTTTTGTATAATTATCAACTGTGCCTTATTTTTTAAAAAGGAGACCTCCCTGTTCACCGTATACTTGTTCCCTGGTGTATTAGCAACTTTGATATCTTCTGGTTTCCAGGGCCACATCCCTGACCTTTTATTTATAGAACCTTCCGCCCTTTTCCAGGCTATAATGTAAGGTTTCCAGTACTCTGGCCAGGCTCTGTTTTTTGATAGTACTTCATTAAGTGCATTTAATACTGTGATATTCCTTTTATTTTGCAACTCCACCCTGATTAGCTCTCTTTCCACCTTTGCCCAACATTTGTTACTTGTAAGTAATTTCATAAATGTGGAAAGTAGTCTAGCATCCACTAAGTCCTTTAATATCGGTGCATTTAATCTACCGTATTTATATTCTTGTTGTAGGATTGAGTATCTCGGAAGGATCTTACAGGAATTTTTGATCCAACCTCTTACAAGATTATCAATTTCTGTTAGTTGCTTTCTACTTGGGGCAAAAGGTATGTAACATACCAAATTTTGGATAAAACCAATGTTTTGATTACTAGAATTCTACCCTTGATAGACAAGCTACGCTGTGATAATTTTCCAAGCATATTTTTAATCTTTAATATTGTCTCTGGCCAAGCATTTTTACTTATTTTCCCTTGCAAATCTAACTTATATTCTAATACTCTTATTGGCTCGTTATCTGGTAGCATTTTGAATTTTTTTGCCTCATGGTGTTCTATACGTTGGGCATTAGAAGTTAGTGGAACCAACACCGATTTAGTTTTGTTAATTTTTGCATTGGACGCATCCTCATACTCCTGAATCATTTTGGCAACAATATCCCATTTTGTATATGATGCTATACTTATTGTAAGGTCATCAGCGTAGGCTGTTAACTTAAATCTTTGTTGACTTGAATGCTGATTTAATGCTATTCCTGTTAGGTTTTTCTCAAGTGATTTAAAGAAAGGTTTGAAGGCTAGTATATATAGGAGGGGTGAGAGTGGGTCACCCTGCCTCACTCCACAGTTAACTTTGAAAGGTTCCGATATTATACCAGAGTCTGTTATAAATGCTGTTTGTTCTGAAAACAGCGCCCTAATTGTTTATATAAAACTTGGATCAAATTTCATCTTTGTTAGTACCTCTTGTAAATATATATGGCTAATACGATCGAAAGCTTTTGCTGGTCTAGGAACAACATCCAGCCCTGTTGCATTTGATCAAGCTGATTTCTCATAACAGACATAATGTCCATCACCAACTCCAAAATCAACCTTCCTTTGATAAAGCCTTGCTGATGAGAACTGATTATTTTTTGGCATATATTATTGAGACGGTTAGCTAGGATCTTCATAAATATTTTGACGTCACAATTTGTTAGGGAAATGGGCCTCCAATTTCGAACGTCTTCTAGATCCTCCACTTTCTTTAGAAGTAATGTTATCACATTTTTACACCATGAGCTAGGCATTTTGCACTTTTTGATTGCATCATTAAAGATTTTTTCAAATACTAAACTACTTTCTTTCTATTAACTCTTTATAGAGTTTGTATATAATGCTATCTGTCCCAAGAGCCTTGTTATTGGAGAGGCTACGTATTACTTCGATTATCTCTTCCTTCATAATATACTTTGTTAAATTCTAATTGTCCGACTCTTCTATTTATGGGAGATCATCCATTATTCTATCTATTGCCTCTACCTTAATTGGCTCTGGTTGATACATGTGACTATAATATTCTTTAATATAGTGTAACACCTCAATTGGATTCGACACTCCTTTCTTATCAGGGATTTTAATTTTATTTATCGCTGCCACATTATGCCTGGTCTTAAATCTGGAAAAAAGTACTTTGTCGACTTCTCTCCGCATTCGATCCATCTTGTGTTAGAACAGACCTGCCATTTATCAGCTAAATTCGTAAGTTCATCTTGAAGATTTCTTTTTAGCCTTTCAATTACCAATTGCAAGTCAGATAGGTCTTTGTCCCTTGTAACTTTTCTTTCTAGTACGTTTATTTTTTTATTTAGCTTTTGAATGCTACATTTTGGGGCTTTAATATATTTTCTAGCTCTAATTAATGACTGTATTTTACACTTGCAGTAATCCCACTCCTCCAAGTCTGTAACCATTTGTATTTCTTCCACAATTTCTTTCCTTAGAATCTCATTCTCCAGGCACTTATGATTTACTTTCCAATATGACATTTGTAATTTATTTTTACTGAAATTCATCTCAGTTATTACCATAAGGTGGTCTGAGTTCCCGAACTTTGTATATATCTTCTGACAGTACTGTGCATACTGTTTATCCGCAAAGATATAATCCAACCTTGTGGCCATAGTGTGCCCTCCTCTCATCTTTTGGACATACGTGAGAAACGGCTTTTGGGAGGTTTCAACTATCATGTCTACCATCACACAGATGAGTTCTTTGAGCTTTTCCTTAGATGGATCGTTATATGGTGTCACGTAACTTATCCTGTTCGTATCCGGGTTGAGATTCACATTAAAATCTCCTGCCACTATGTTAATTGCATTAATGTTTTTTTTATTAACCAATTATCAAAAAATTGTAACCTCTCATCTAGTGTCAGGGGGCATATACATTAATAACGCGAAAGGACCATTTTCTATATTGAAATTCCATGCTGAGTACCCTTCTCTGATGAGATTCTTCAGTATTTTCGAATTTGATATTCCTATTTCTAGCCAAAATAGCTACTTTGGATGTCCATATGGAATTGTATTCCCACTGCTGTTTTACAAAGTTCCTCGTACTATCATTGGTTAAATTTGTTTCCTGTATCATAATCAAATCTATCTTATATGTCTTAAGTAAAATTATTGTTTGTTGACGCTTATATCTATCATTAAGGCCCTTCACATTAAGTGTGGCAATTCTGAAAGTATTATACTTACTCATAATAGCGTATATATTAGGTTATTTGTACCTTCAGATTCACCTTTATTTATACCTTATGTTCCTTTGTTACAACCATCCCTAGATAGTCTATTGTTTTCATATGGCTTAGATCTACTATCATATAAGTGTGTGTTTTTCCTTATCCTGGGCTTTTTGTGCATGACCGTTATAAATCCATCATCTACTTGTTCCACCACATTACTCTCTTTTGCTTGTGTTTGCACATATTCATGATCAACATTCAACATATTTATACCCATGCTCTCCGTATGCTTCTGCACCTGTTGAATTACTTCTTTTAGATCTAATTAGTCATCTAGCCCATCTTGTTGTAGGTCTGTGCTCATTTCGATTTGCTTTATTGTATTATTTGGTACTTGCTGATTTTCTTCATTTCTATCTTTTTTCAACAAAGTTTCAAGAGATTCATCTTCCTGGGATAGCATTTTCACATCTTTCCCAGCTGCAATATCTTGTATCAAAACATCCAATCTCTCACTGCTTTCGATATCCTGCTCTTTATCAGTGTTGTTTTCATTCAGATTATTACCACCTGACCTTTCTTGTTTATGTCTTTTGGCTTCCTTATATTTTTTATATTG